AACAACAACAACAACAAATACTACTAAACATCCTAGTTTCCATGCCGACAACTTGCGCGGCCCAGATCGCCTGCTTCCTAGGAGGCCCTCGAACGCGCTTCGCCTCCTGCAGAAGAAGCCTCAGGTTAACCACCAGCCTCTTGCATGTCAGTGTCGTGTATGCAACCCAAACCTTGGCAGACTTCTGAACTTTTAGCCTATCTTTTTATAGTTCATATAGAAACCCACAAAAAGTTGAAGTCCTAAGACCTAAACAGAAGAACGCCAAGAAACCGTACAAAGAACTAGTAAGCTGACAAGGATGACCGGCCAAGTCTTCTCCAGGTCTAAGTCACAAGTGTGGCGGATGTGCCAACTGCAACACATGACCACTATCCATATGTTCGAACCAGAGGTCAAACCGCAGTTTCCCCCATCCGGGCCGAAACGGATTGCCGTCATTCGCATTTGCAAGAGATGGAGAGTCCAGCCAAGCGCAACACACTGCACTCCCCAACCGAATTGAAACATGGAGAACGAGTAGGCAATCAATTCCAGGTCAAAACAAATGCCTGCGACCTGCTGTGCCGCTGCCGCAAGCCAAAATGCAAACATGCCCCACTTTGCATCGTGTGCGTAGGTGGATCGTGGGTGCGTTCTCAGCATGGAGCAAAGCCAAATCAACGAGAGCAGCAGGAAAGACAGCGTCTGCTGCCCGTTCGCGAAGATGGGGTTCCTCACCGGCGGGTTGAGAACCGGATATGCCAAAACCACGCATGGATACCCTGCGAGGAGGACAGAGAGCACGGTGAAGAACCCGCAAAGCAGGATCGTGCAATTCCAGGAGCTGCGCCACCCGGCAGAAGAACCCGGGACGTGCAGGACTCCAACGCAAAGTCCCAGCCAAGCTCCCAGATCCAAGTTCCGATCTAAGTTTCCATGAAGATCATGGAGCAGTACACCGCACAAGCGGAGCAGCACAGTGCAGAAACCCAGTAAGGCCAACAGTATACTGCAATAAAGCACCCGCCACTTCCATTCAAAGCCCCTGGCCATTTTGGCATGTAAAGGCCAGAAGCTGCGCTGCTAAACCCTAAAACCTAAACCCTAATAACTGCGAACCTGTTATCTGCTTCCCACCTTACTTGTCCTGTATCTTAGGGGTCGTGTCGTACTGTTGATGATATAAACCCTGCATTACCTTAAGGATCCTATATCCTATGGGAATTATGGTCTGTTCCTGATTATGGGTGCTGCAGGATTTATATCATCAACCGCAGTACCTCATACAACTACTAAGCCACAACACCAATCCGACCCCCTACAGGCCAAGGCTCGAGACAGCAACCAACACCTTGAAGGTTTAGGGCTCACCCATAGGCCCCATAGTAGTTCCTTTTCGGGATTCCCTAATAGAATCCTAAAAATAAGCCACAAACAGGAACTACTGTGGGGCCTATGGGTAGGGTCTAAGGTTTAAGTTTCAAAGCATGAACGCTTCAATGCGACGGGTGCCGGGTTGGGATGAGGATTTAGGGTTTATACGGTTTAGGGACCCTAACCTAAAACCCTAAACCCTAAACCCGAAACCCTAAACCGTTAAGGCTCCTGGACCCTTGGAGTGAGATCCCAAACCCTAGCCCCCAAAGCCGAAACCCTGGCCCCCAGCAAGCCCAAGAATCTCTTCGGATCCTGAAGGTAAACCCTCAACCCTATCTGAGGCGTTCGGGCTGGGGTCGGGGTTTAGGGTTTGTAGGGTTTAGGGCTCCTAGACCCCCCCCCAAACTAGCCGCGAACTACCTCGCAATGAGGAAGATCAGAGCCCCGTAAGGTGTTGGCTGGGCCAGCTTAGGGTGCTGTATGGGTTTCAGGTTTAGGCGTCGTGTCGGCCTGTTGATGTAGACCCCGGATGAATCAACTCTTTCTCTTTGAGGGCCTTAATATTCGGATTTTTGTTACAACGGTGTTAAGGGAAGGGGTTCACTAGTTAGGACTGCATTATCGGCTTACTGTACGTATAGAAATTGGGCTTTGATGCTTAAGCTTTCGGTGTTGGGGAATTTGGTGTCATGGTCTGGGCCTAAGGTACGGTTGATGATATAAACCCTGTATTACCCACCATAAGGAATATACCACAGTTAATTCCCATAGTTTAGGGTCCTTGAAGTACTGCTGGGCTTATACCGAACCCTAAACCCTAAACCCCAAACCCTAAACCCTAAACCCTAAACCCCAAACCCTAAACCCTTAGGGTGTAGGGTTTGGGGTTTGGGGTTTAGGGTTTAGAATTTAGGGTTTAGGGTTTACGGTTTACGGTTTAGGGTTTGGTGTTATTTAGTGTTTCGGGTTTAGAGCTTAGGGATGGAATTTGGTAACTTCTCGCTAAGCAACGCAGAATCATTTAGACTTTGGGTTTAGGGTTTGGGGTTTAGGGTTTAGGGTTTAGGCCTAACCATACTGTGAACAGATACCCAATAGGACTTTTGAACATCTCCAAAACTGAGCCCCTGTTCTAGGCGGCATCACCCCAAACACCCCCCCTACCCTACCGAGAGGATCAGTGATGTCCTGCGTACGATAATGCCTAACTCAATCTTCAACAAAATCGTTCAGCCCCATCCCAGACCCCCCAACTACCCTCTATTATACCCCAAATACCGACTATTAGGGACCATAAGGGCTCCATTAAAGGGCCATTGGGGGTCCTGAATGATCCTCTAAGTAGACCCTATTGCTAAGCTCTCAACTCGCTAAGCCCTAAATCCTAAACCTAAAGCCCCTGAAGCCGAAAGCCTGATTCTTAAACCTAAACCCTAGGCCCGTTATCCTGTTACCCTGACAACTAAGAAACGTTCACCTTTAGCCTATCGTCCCTAAGGGTCGAAAGGACCAAATAATTAGCCACCTGGGTTAAACGGTTTATGGGTTTTAGGGTTTGAGGTTTAGGCTAGTAGTGTAGGCTAGTAGTAGAGCACTAGGCACTTGGGCCTAAGCCCTGGAACCTAGCTGATTTGGGTGCTCAGAACTTATAATCTACGTCCCTAGTTATTAGAAGGACCACCCCAAACCGCACACCCGCAACCCTGTTCACAGGGGGTCCCACAACCCTGATTACGGGGTCAAGCGACCTGAAAACACGGTAGTTGAAGAATCAAAGATTACCCCACAATTTAGAGTACACAATTCTTGAAACAATCATATTCCCTACCGAATACCAACCTACACAGCTACTCTCCTGAATCCTACTATTGATGATATAAATCCCGCACTACCTTCATAAGGACCCTAAACCATGGCAAGTATGGTATATTCCTTATTATGGGTAATGCAGGATGAATAACTGTGGGAATTGTGGTACATTCCTCATCAGCCGTAGTACCCATCTCCATTACGTCCCCTGGACCAGTTTAGGGTTAGGGTTTACGGTTTAGGGTGTAGGGTTTAGGGTTTAGGGATTCTTGGGGTTTTAACGGTTTAAAGTTTGGGATGTGAGGCTGAGGTAAGGGTCTGTGTCTGCGCCTGCTTGGTCCCGGTAGACCCTAAGGGCTTTAGGAGGGACCCCTAATCCCATTACGGTAAATAACCATTATATAGTCCTTATATACCCCTTATTCAGCCAGGTAGTCCCCATATTAACCCCAATAACCTACAAAGGTCCCTATTCAGGGTCCCTCCTAAAGCCCTGAGATAAATCCTATTCCCTAGGAACCCCAAGCCAGAAACCAAAGTCCTAAACCCTGGTTGAGCCCCACCTTACCGAAAGCCTAGCCTAAACCCTGAACTTTGGACACTGAACCCGAAACCCTAAACCCTTAACCCCAAACCCTAAACCCTAAACCCTAAACCCTTAACCCCAAACCCTAAACCCCAAACCCTAAACCCTGAACCCCAAACCCTGAACCCCTAAACAGAGACACAGCATCCCGGCCTTCGGTCAGAGCACCTGCATCGTCCACTGGGTTGTAGTGGAAGTAGTAGAGGACGAAGGCCAGGATGCTATCCTGGGCTTAGTTTGGGTTTAGGGTTTAGGGTTTACGGTTGAGGGCTTTGGGCTTAGGGTTTAGGCCAAGATGCCATCTTGGGATTGGGTTAGGGTTTAGGGTTTACTTGGAGGTTCATGGGTACTTATAAGTGGGGCTATAAGTAAGGTATCTATATGGTCATAACCCATATTAAGGGACTTATAACCCCACTTACAACTACCCATGAACTCATGAACCTCCAAGTAGGGTTTAAGGTTTAGGGTTTAGGCCAAGATGCTATCCTGGGGTCCAGGTTTTGGGTTCAAAGGGGAAACTAGGGGGTGTTAGGGGTCCTCTGAAAGACTTAGGGCTTAGGGTTTAGATGCTATCCTGGGTTTGGGGCTTGGGGTTTACGGGCAAAGGGTTGTTTGGTTTAGGGTTTTAGGGTTGGGGGCTCAGGGTTTAAAGGTTTAGGGGTTTAGGGTTGAGGGTTGATAAGGGGCTAAATCCTACGGGCCCAAGTACCTAATATTCGTATGCTCCCCAAAATACGAACCTACAAAACTCCAGTTTTGTTCAGTTCCTGGTTCTTCGTGAAACCCTTAACCCTAAACCCCTAAACCCTAAACCCCTAAACCCCTAAACTCTAAACCCTAAACCCCTAAACCCCTAAACCCCAAACCCTAAACCCCTAAACGTAAACTGGGAACATGGCTGCCCAGATCCAATTGAAACAAGCCCGCCACCCAGACCTGCCAATATCCCGTCATTAAGGAAAATGCTTTAAACCATAGTAGCATCCCTAATATGATTTCAGGCATATATTCCTAAATTGCGGGATTTTGGACGGTCTGGGCATAGAATGGTAAGAAGCCGCCTAGGGGGTTCCATGTTGTAGGCTCTGCAAGAGAACCCTGACTCCCTAGATCCTAAACCGCTAAGACCCTAACCCTAAAACCACAACCCCTAAACCCCTGCAAACTTCTAAACCCATGGACCTTAAGTCTGCGAAGCCCTAGAACCCCTCCTAAACCCCGCCTAAACCTAAACTTTTAAACCCTCTGAAAGCAGCTGAACTTCAAGAGATCCCCGAAAAAAAACTCTATAGGGGTTCTGGGTTTAGGGTTCGGGGTTTGGGTTTGGGGTTCGGGGAGTGGTATTGGGTTTGGAGTTTAGGGTTTGGGGTGTAGGGTTTGGGGTTTGGGGTGTCGGGTTTGGGGTTTAGGGTTTGGGGTGTAGGGTTCGGGGTTTAAGGTGCTAAGAGTTCTTAACAGGCATTTGTGTCAGGGCTGCATATTGTTCTGCAGAGTTTTCAAACGGCGTTATATGAGATTCCCTAGTACCTGAAAACGCTTTTCCCCTGTCTACGGAGATGCCAAAACAGAAAGGGCAGAAGGGAACTACTGCGCGACCTGTAACAAACTGTTGAAATTCTTGAAATGCTTGCTGGAAACGCCGACTGTTGACTGCTTCGCCTAAACTTCAAAGACCTACACCCTCAACCGAGGCAAGTGGCCATCAAATGCATGAGCAGCTCCTTTGTCAACTCCATAAAGTGAGAGTACTCCTGTTGGAGTTGGAGGTTCTAGGGATCATGGGGCTGAATAGTAAGGATATAGGTGCCTTAAATACCTATACCTATGTTCCTCATCCCAGCATACAGTAATTCAAAGCCCTCTAGAATCCATGAAACAAAGCGCTACTGCAAACCCTACTTCATGTAAGAACTCCGCCCTGTTTGAGGCTACCTAAACCCTGAAGGGTTGAGGGTTTAAGATAGAGGCTCAGGTTTGCAAGGACAGCAGTCCAAAATGCGCCAGTCGTACGTAGTGGACGGGATGTGTGGGTTTCCGCTGCGTGACCAGGAAACAAGATACGTCGCAGACTTTTTCTTGCCTATAGTGACCATTTGCTTGCAGAATGACCTTGACTGACTCTGTAGTGCCTGTCATCTACAAAGCAACTCCCGTGATCTTCGTGACCCCGACACGCCCCAAATGGAAAGACTAACCAAAAGAGCTCAACACCCTGTACTCAATAAGGGCCCCTCTGCAATTGATCATGCTCAGATTTCGAAGGGTATTGGCTTGTCTA